GCCACTTCCGGCTTTTTTCTTTTTGCTTATGTGGTGCTGAGGAATCGAACTCAGGGCCTCATGCATGCAAGGCAAGCACTCTACCACTGAGCTACCTTCCCAGCCCTGTGAATTAAGTTTTATTGGAACATAGTCATTCTTTTTTGCTACTTTTATGGTGCAATGTCAGGGTTGACTAGTTGCAAAGTCTGGCCCATAAAGCTGAAAGTATCTGGTCCTTTATAGTCTATCAACTTGTGATACAGATAATCTTTGCATTTGAAGAGCATATGTAACATTTTCAACTTCAAATTCTAGTCAATTATAACTTTTAGAAATTCTAAATCTGACTTTTATCATACTTTATCGATGAGCAGTTTTCTGTGTCTAGCTGTATCCAGATCTGCTGTTGTAGTATGAAAGGTTCACTCATTGTACAGCCATACTAGTTTGTGTTGGGTTTTGTTTTTTTTTTTGCTTGAATTTAGGGCCTATAGTCTCTTTGTGCTCAAGGCTAATGCTCTACCACGTGAGCCGCAGCACCACTTCTGGCTTTTCTGAATAGTTTATAGGAGATAAGAGTCTCATGATAACTTTTCTGCCCAAGTTGGCTTTGAACCTTAATCCTTAGATCTCAGCCTCCTGAGTAGCTAGGATTACAGACGTGGCTCCCAGTACTGCCAGCCTTACTAGTTTTAATCTCTGTTTTAACAGATGTGGTAATAGCACTGTGGATCCAGTCACCATGAACAGACTGAGCTTTGTGAGGAACAGATGCAGGTAAGGTCCTAAACATTGCAGACCTAAGGGTTGGTAGAAAGCATCACTTAGAAATACAAAAAGCAGCCAGGTGCTGGTGGCTCATGCCTGTAATTCTAGCTACTCTAGAGGCTGAGATCTGAGGATCGCGGTTCAAAGCCAGCTCCGGCCAGAAAGTCCATGAGACTCATCTCCAAGTAGCCACCAGAAAACCGGAAGTGGTGCTCAGGGCTCAAGTGGTAGAGTGCTAGCCTTGAGCTGAAGAGCTCAGGGGCAGTGCCCAGGCCCAGTAGTTCAAGCCCCACAACTGACCAAAAAAAAGAAAAACACAACCTAATTTACCATGTATTTCCTTCCCTTCCCCCCATCCTCTCTTTCCTCCCAGTTAAAAATTTTTTTTTTTTTTTTGGCCAGTCCTGGGGCTTGATCTGAGCTGGGTGCTGTCCCTGAGCCTCTTTGTGCTCAAGGCTAAACAGAGCTATACTACCTGAGCCACAGTGCAACTTCTGGGTTTTTCTAGTTTCATGGACTTTGCTGCCCAGGCTGGCTTCAAACCACGATCCTCAGATCTCAGGTAGGATTATAGGAGCGAGCCATCAGTACCCAGCTCACAGTTACTTATTTTCCTTTTTTTTTGTTTTTTTTGCTTATGTGGTGCTGAGGAATCGAACCCAGAGCCTCAGGCGTGCAAGGCAAGCACTCTACCACTGAGCCACCTTCCCAGCAGTTACTTATTTTCTGGCAGTATTTTCTTTTTTTTGGGGGGGGGGGAATTGGCGGGGAGTCCAGTCATGGGGCCTGAACTTGGCCTGGGCGCTGTCCCTCAGCATTTCAGCTCAAGGCTCTACTACTTGAGCCACAGCGCCACTTCCGGCTTTTTTCTTTTTTTTGCTTATGTGGTGCTGAGGAATTGAACCCAGGGCCTCATGCATGCAAGGCAAGCGCTCTACCACAGAGCCACCTTCCCAGCCCCTGGATTTTTGCTGGTTAATTGGAGATATAAGAATCTTGGAGCCGGGCGCCAGTGGCTCACGTCTGTAATCCTAGCTACTCAGGAGGCTGAGATCTGAGGATTGCAGTTCAAAGCCAGCCCTGGCAGAAAAGTCCATGAGACTCTTATCTCCAATAAACCACTAGAAAACCGGAAATAGTGCTGTGGCTCAAGCAGTAGAGAGCTGGCCTTGAGCTGAAGAGCTGAGGGACAGCGCCCAAGCCCAGAGTTCAAGCCCCACAACCAACAACAACAACAACAAAAAGAATCAGGATATATCTGCCTAGGATAGGATGGTTCTGAACCTCAATCTTCTGATCTCAACCTCCTAAATAGTGATGATTATAGGTGTGAACTACTGGTGCCCTTCACTTCAGTATGTGTTGCTTTACTTTGGCAGTGGGTAAAAAATGGTGGTCACTTCTGAGCAGGGAAGGTTCAAGCATTGACTGTCCTGTTTACTAAATGCCCAAAGCCTAAAGATTACCTTTTAAGATTTACATTATAGAATGTCCCTACTGTCTTCTGTAACACTTGTAGGAATGGACTTGGCTCTGTGAAGGATGGAGAACCTCACTTTGTGGTGGTCCACTGCACAGGTTACATTAAGGCCTGGCCTCCAGCAGGTAGGAAAGTTGAATTTCTCCTCTCATTTACTTAATTACTAAGAGAGTTCAGAAAAGTTTCACATTTAATTAATAGAATGTTCATTATATACTTGTTATATGATGTATCTTTTGGTATAAGCTATAAGAAGGTTGGATAAATAAATCAGGCTTCTTCCAATCTGTTCTTCAGTTGAGGGGACGGATTACTCATATTTAAAAGTGATTTAGAGGGGCTGGGAAGGTGGTTCAGTGGTAGAGAGCTTGCCTTGCATGCATGAGGCCCTGGGTTCGATTCCTCAGTACCACATAAACAAAAAGAAAAAAAAGCCGGAAGTGACGCTGGGGCTCAAGTGGTAGAGTGCTAGCCTTGAGCTGAAGGACAGCACCCAGGCCCAGAGTTCAGGCCCCACGACCGGACCCCTCCCCCCCCCAAAAAAAAAAAGTGATTTAGAGCTGGGCACCTGTGGCTCACGCCTGTAATCCTAGCTACTGAGGAGGCTGAGATCTGAGGATCACAGTTCAAAGCCAGCTGGGCATGAAAGTCCATGAGACTCATCTCCAATTAACCACCAAGAAACCAGAAGAGGTGCTGTGGCTCAAGTGGTAGAGCGCTAGCCTTGAGCTGAAGATCTAAGAGACAGTGCCAAGGCCCAGAGTTCAAGCCCCATGACCAACAAATACCACCCCCCCCCAAAAAAAAAAGTTATTTAGTATTGCTGGGTGCCAATGGCTCACACCTGTAATTCTCTTTACTCGGAGGCTGAGATTTGAGAGTTGCAGTTCAAAGCCAGCTCAGGCAAGAAAGTCCCTGAGACTTATCTCCAATTAACCAGTAAAAAGCTGGAAATGTAGCTGTGTCTCAAGTGGTAGAGCACTAGCCTTTAGCATAAAAAGTTCAGGGATAGGTTCCAGGATCTGAGTTCAAGCTCAAGGACTACCACAGGGGGAAAAAAAAAAAAAAGACGTGTTGACTATGTTAGAGAATGTAGTTGTTTGTTGGCCTTTTCAGTTTATTGATTGATTGATTGTGCCAGTCCTGGAGCTTGTACTCAGGGCCTGGCACTGTCCCTGCTTTTTTGTTCCAGGCTGGTACTCTTACTAGAGTTTGTACTCAAGACCTGTGCTTGCTAGTGAGACACTGTGCTATTTGAGTCAACAATATAATTTTTAAATGTTTAAAATCATGCAAATGTGCACATAATACATACACATAATATGTTCTAAGCAGTTGTTGCAAAGAAACATTGGTATTTAATTCAAGTAATTTGGGAAAGTAATTTGGGAAATGTAGTACACATTGAGAGATAAAGGGAAAGTGGCTTGATTATAACACTTTTTTATTTTTATTTTTTTGCCAGTCCTGGAGCTTGAACTCAGGGCCTGGGCATTGTCCCTGAATCTCTCTGTGCTCAAGGCTCACTCTACCACTTGAGCCATAGAGCCACTTTTGGGTTTTTTTGGTTGTTAATTGGAGATAAGAGTCTCATGAACTTTCCTGCCAGGGCTGGCTTTGAACTGCAATCCTCAGATCTCAGCCTCTTGAGTAGCTAGGATTACAGGTGTGAGCCATCAGCACCCAGTGCTTTTTCTGTTTATGTGGTAGTAAGGAATCGAACACAGGGCTTCATGCATGCTAGGCAAGCTCTCTACCACTAAGCCACATTCCCAGCCCACCCCTTTTTGTGCATGTGTGCGTGTGTGTGCATTGTGTTGTGTGTGTGTGTGCGGGCGTGTGTGCATGTGCATTACTGGGGCTTGAACTCAAGCCCTTGTTTTTTTGCATAGTTTTTCCCCCAGGCTGATGCTTTACCAGTTGAATCACACCTTTGCCTCTGGTATTTTTTTTTTTTTTTTTTTGCTGATTATTTGGAGATAAGTCTCTGGGACTTTTTTCTGTCTTGGCTGGTTTTGAACTGGGATCCTCAGATCTTAGCCTCCGGGTAGCTAGAATTTAGGTGTGAGCCACTGGTGCCCTGCACTGATAATAACAACTTTTTTTTCTTTTCTGTCTGTTGTGGGGCATGAACTCTGGGCCTGGGCGCTGGCCCTGAGCTCTTGAGCTCAAGGTGAGCACTCTGTTACTTGAGCCACAGTACCACTTCCTGTTTTCTGGTGTTTAATTGGAAATAAGAGTGTCTTGGACTTCCGGGCCTGGGTTGGCTTTGAACTATAATCCCCAGATCTCAGCCTCCTGAGTAGCGAGGATTAGACCCTGCTTGACAGGAACAACTTTAAAACAGAGTTTCTTTCCAAAGACATGAAATCAAGCTGTAAGCAAAGTAGTATTTAAAGTTGAAGTCAAACAAAAGTTGAAGTCAAACAGAGCTGGTACCAGTGGCTCTTATGCCTATAATCCTAGCTACTCAGAAGGGTTACATCTAAAGATTAAGGTTCAGAGGAAGCCTGCACAGACAGATCCACAACACTTGAGTCAAATCTGCAAGATTTCAATCCTTCTGTTTAATACTTGGTTCCCCAGACCTTGATCCTTCTGCTTTGTACTTTCCATAATAATTGGGATGCCACCACATTCAGCTATTGGTTGAAGAAAAGTCTTGAGAATATGTTTGAGTTGGCCTCAAAGGAAAGTCCTCCAATTTCAGATTTCCATGTATCTGGGATGACAAGTGCACAGGACTCTTCACAGCTATTGTTTGAGAAGGGGATGGGGCGAGGGGGGGGGATGGGGGAGAAGTTCTTCTGGATAAATAGAAGATAACTCCGTAAATAATTATAGGGAAATGAATTCTTGTTCCATTTCCATGTAAAACATTGACTTCTCTGTTTTCTAAAGGATATAAATAACTATAGATTTCCCTTTCCTTTTTTTTTTTTTTTTGTCGGTCGTGGGGGGCTTGAACTCTGGGCTTGGGGGCTGTCCCTGCACTCTTCAGCTGAAGAGCTCGAGCCATAGTGCCACTTCCTTTTCGAGTAGTTTATTGGAGATAAGAGTCTCAGGACTTTTCTGCCCCGGGGTGGCT